TGTACTTAAGTACAGTAACGAAGTACTTGTACTTCGTTACTTCCCACCACTGGTATGTATTCTTAATTTGGTCATATGTGCCACAACACAGGGATAAAATAACGGAGAAAAGACGTTAAAGAACAACTCAAACCCATTTTTTTCTCACTCTGTGTCGGCTACGCTACACGCAAACTCGTTGCCACGGCAACTGGCAATAACACCTCATCGGGATTCAACACCAAAAAACAAAAAAAAATTCCCCAAAAAAAAAAAAAAAAAAAAAACAGAACATTCGGTCCGTCACAGTGTCATGTGTTTAGGCTTGATGATTATTTTGTAATTATTCATAAGTGACCGTGGTAGCAGATTAGCTATGGCTGCTATAAGCTAATCTTACACTTCAGTGGTTGATTAGCTAATTTAAACACTTGTTCAGATTTTAGTGATCTATCAGATCGAGTTGGTGTGTAAGTCGCCATATTTTGTTTTAAGTGAACCGAAACACACCGAATTCCACATCACATCTGCATGTTACGGTTGTCAAAGTCAAGCAAGGACAACTGAACTACTGCCCCCTTCCTTACTTATTTTTTTCTTAATTAAAACGTTTTCCTACCTTGTTATCTAGTTGTCGTAGTGTTGACAATTTGTTGCAAAGCACTGCATCCCTTTTTCTTTTATATATCAAGCTTACATTTAAGATTTAGCACGTTATATTGATAATAACTTTGCTAAACCAGTCGTAGTCATCGTCAGCCAGCAGCATTTTCGCCCTACAGCAGGTCGATGGGGGCGGGATCTTGCGTGCGTGACGTCACGCTGCAAGGAGTCCATAGTTTGTGTCCTACTTTTGGAGTAGCCTCCAGTGGTCCGTGTATATTCAGGCAGTTCATTTTTTTCGAACTGTTATTCGAAAAAAATGTTTTTTTCGAATAAAAACAGTTTTTTTCGATTTCATGTTTTGGTTTAATGAACGAAAAACGAAAAAAAAAAATACGGACCACATTACAATTGTTTGTTATTTGTTGTTTTGTTTTGATCTTTACTGCAGTAATGTTTACCTACCGAAGGCTATGTCATGTACTGTGTGGTATGTGAGCTCAGAACTTAATTGAGACTCCATTTGCATGTGTCATGGATGTAATTAGCATGTGATACATGTTAAGAAGATCCAGGTTGCTCTACTAGCTGGTCTGAACTGGCTGAGTTGCCTCTAATCTTTTTTGACAATACCCTATAAATTCTCTGAGAGGTTTAGATCACCCAGTTTGTGGGCCAAACAAGCTCAGCGATACTATAATTATTACACCAGGTATTGGTATTATTGGCAGTGAGGGCAGGCATCACGTCATTCTGGAAAATGAAATCAGAATCTCCATAAAGCTTGTCAGCAGAGTGAACCATAAAATACAGTACAATTTCTTGATAGACAACTATACTGACTAAAACATGGAGCATTGATACTACCAGACAACATGTCTCCCTACATCGTCATTGAACTAACTAGAAGACTTTAACTCTGGGAGGTCGGTGTCCACATAAATAAATACATGTAAGTGATTTTTTTCTAAAGACAGAACTTTGGAACATTAAGCAACAGATAATTGATTTTTCTTCTTGGCCCACATGATACAGTTCTGGTTGCTCTTGGTTTTTCCACTCAAACGCTTGGATACAGTACACTGTGATCGAGCAGCTTCCATAGCAATGACCTTCTCTGGCTCAGCCCCATTGTGCAGAGTCTCAGTGACTCTCTGCTGGACCGCTGTCAGGTCAACAGTCTTCCAAATGAATGTGGGGGCAATGAGAAATGACCATCACATTTCTGTATTAAAAAATCCTTTTCAATTGAGGTTATGAAATATCGAATTTTCCAGAAAATAAGTCACACGTTTTTTATCACTTCATTGTTCTGGAACTTACAGTCCTATGCAACATATCTATATATATATATATATATTTTTTTTTTTTTTTGACATGACTTTGTGACATATACTCTGGAATGACTTATAGTCCGGAAAATACAGTATTCAAACCGTCAAGCTAAGGAAAAGTTTACGAATTTCACCAACTGGGCAACATTCAATGAACTCCAAGTCTAACAAAGTATGAAAACTTTTTGAATTTAATTACTGACATAAATTTCTGGTCTATTTTATTGATCTGTAATATGCAAATATCGCTCACCTTCCTGTGATCTGCTGTTTGTTGACTGTCCAGGAGTTGTGACCAAAGCAGCAGCTGAACAGATAGTCTGCAAGCAACAGGGAGAAATGATTATAGTTCAAAATTACAGTTTTGCACAAAGGTACCAGATTTTAAACTGTAATTCCGTTTATATTGTGTTGCTGAATTAATATGAAGGACCAAAAGAAAACTCAAAGCAAACTGGTAAATTACCTGATGGTCCAAATCCCGACTTCTAGCATGGCGACTCGTTCCACAGCGTTGGACACTATGAGTGCAAAAAGAAAATAACGGTGCCTTCTAATTCACTTTTTTGATATGGAAAATAAATGCCTTTAAAATGTATTTAGTCTCACCAAGTGTCCACTTTTTGACTTTTCTTTTATGTTCTCAACAAGAATCATTCAGCTTGAACACCCACAGATAGTGACTCTGGCAGAAACCGTTAAAGTCTTCCACCCACTTGACCATGTGAGTTGACCTCTGACCTCTTTGGCTCCTAATGAGGGAGCTCCTCTGGTGAAACACCCCCCCCCCCCCCCCAACAAAACAGCAGGTCTAAAATCCAGCTAGAGAAAGCCCGTCACCTCTCAACCCCACACTATTTAACTCAGTCATGATTTGCACGTTGTCCTATTTAGGTTCACTGAAGCAAAAAGGCTTTCAAACGCGTCCTGATAACAATTCAGCATGTACTGATCCCAGGGGAACAGCGGTTTATTATCTGCAAACATTTAGAAAGGTGCAAATAACTATCAATAAAAACCACAAAATTCAGACAAAATCTAATATCTGCATTCCTCTCACACTTACCTGCAGCTTAATGATGAAGCGTTTCTGCTTTTTATACTGGTGTATCCTCTCCAAGCGCAGGCATCCTCACAATGGAAACTTGAATCTGTGAAGAAATGCAGGGCTTCCCTCTCAATACCTGGTGCAGATCCATGTGACCCACTGAAGCCATGTTGGGAATTCTGGATCAATCAGACCATATGCCCCGTGTGTAGCTCTTCATTGAGACTCCAGCGGTTCTGCTTTTACGCGCAAACACAAGGACTGTGACAGAGAGCTGAAAACTGACACGGCAGAAGGAAAACACCCTCTGCTGCGCCCCCTGCCTCAGCCAGCCTACTCCACTTTGTTCTTTGAGCTGTCATGTAAAAAATACGGAGGTGGGAGTCTCCTCCTGCTTTTTTCCCAGAGTGCGCGCTTGGATTTGTCTGAGCGTGAAGGAGAAGCAGAGCAGTTTAGGGTTTTCATCTGCTCAGCCACATCAACACTCTGGCACTCCTTCTGCAGGGTTAAAACAAAAGCAGCGCACACAATCAATTACTCATCGATTACTCATTTACACATGTTTGAGCCAATATCTGACAGATTGCATTAAGCGGTATTATGCGGTTTGCTGAGCCAGTCTGTCCAACGATACTTAATTGATACCATTGCCTTGCAAAAACCTTCATACTCCTTAAACTTTTTCACATTTATACACATTATAATCAAAACCTTTATGTATTCTAATTGGACAAACTCACAGTAGTGCATAATTGTGACCTTTGAGGAAACAATATGCGTGGTTTTTAACTGCTTAACAAGTAAAAATCTGAAAAGTGTGGTGAACATTTGTTTTCAGCCCCCAGAGTAAATAATTTGCAGTATCTTTTGGGGTATGTCTCTTACTGTTTTGCACATGCATTTGCCCTGTTTTTACCTTCATCCATTTCCCCAACAATTACTCTGCTCAATAAAGATATCCCCCAGCATAATGAATCCATCATCATGTTTCCCTGTGGGATGGTGAGTTTAGAGTGATGAACATCATTAGTTGTTTTATTATTGTCTCATTTTATTAAAATGCTATTGCAACCATGCCTAAATATTACTGGAAAAATAATAATAAAAAAAAATAATTAAATTGTTGTGTATTATTTTCTAAATAGCTGACAAAATTAAACTTTTAAAAAAACTTTCTTTAAAGAAAGGTTTTGCTTAAAATTAGCATCGGTTTGTAACTCATTGGAAAACCTGTCCCAATTAATGCTTCAAAAACTACATTCTTTTTTAAACATGGCTATGATACAAATTAAAAACAGCTGAGATATTATTTTCTTTTAATTCTTTATATCTCATTGACCCAACACAATTTTTTATTCACAAATAAAGGAATAAATCCTTTAAGCAAACTAAATATAGCAGATTAGTAATAAGTCTTTAATTTTTTTAAGCTTCTATGAGCACCGAGACATTCTTCACACACACTGTCTGCATGCTGTCACTAGTCTTGGAGTTGTGTCAGGCTTTTGAAACTGCAGCGTGCTCGCGGTGTTGGCAGCTGAAGTCCTCTAAACTGTCACAGTGTCTCAGCACAAAGCTGTGATGCTATCACAGTTGTTCAAAAGAAACTAACTGAAGCTTTTCTGACAGCACATGCTCACACAGGCTGGACTCCTGTCAAAGCAGAATGGAAGAATTTTATGTAAGATCTTCAGACTTTGAATATAACAAGATGCTTGTCTCCATATTGAGTTGAGCTAGTAGGTGAGAGCCTTTCACATGGAAAGAAACATTTCTCATGATCAAATCCATTTGTTTGAAAACAGGTCAAGCTATAAAACAAATGTATATTGATAAATAGGAATTGAAAAGTTGAATTCTTTCAATATTTCAATTCAAAATTTAAAACTCATATATTATAAGTATTATACACATTCATTTGTGGTAGTTTCATTGATTATCCTCCGTAGCCAATAAAACCCCCAAATTAGAATATTACATAACATCAAAAATTATTTTTAGTACAATGGCTGTTGAATTGTGTCCTTTATCTCAGATGAAATGTGTTGCTCTTCAAATAAACTTGTTTATTTGAAGATCAAATATGATGAACTTAAAGTGTTGCTTGCGTCTTTCCTTTACTAGATCTTTAACATATCTCCTTGCACCTTGGATATATGGTACGATTTCAACAACTATTTGGGAGTTGTTGAAGTCGTACCAGTAACTTTTCTGGACCTTAACAACTTTAACAAACGGCAATACATGGCTGAAACTGATCACTTTTAAGTCTTAACTCCACATAGCACACCACTTCTACTTTTTGAATTAAATTAGTGCAAGTAATTAGCCTTACAATTATATGTTTTATTTAATAAATTAACATATTGACCACCACAAAGCTGACATGAAAGCAGCTAGAAAGATGTGGAATTTAAAAAAAAAATAAAGAAAAAAACCCCCATTATATAACAAATTAACTGTCTGATTTAGGTAAAATATGTGTAACCAAGGCACTGATCAAGTACCCCAGACAGCAGAACCTGTCAAGTTGTTAGTGTGAAGCTGTTTGATAGTTGATTCCACTTCAGTTATTTGTCTGGGTTGGTGGTGCGTTCTCCCTTGACTTGTCTAGGGTTGAAGAGGTTATTAGGGAGGGCTTAAGCAAAGGTGAGCAAGAAGATAAGAGAAGCAGGTGAAGCCTCTACCTTCAGGGACATTCCAGTGTTAATGCTTAACACTAAACAGAGAAGCTTCGCCTCAGATATGACTTTATACCTGTACCGGTCCCTTCAAAATGTCTCAGCTTGACTTTAGAGCTAGTCAAAAAAAAAAGTTGAATTTTTAAGAACTTAGCACTTGCCAGTTTCTCATGAATGAAAACTAAAAAAATACAAGTTTTATTATAGTTGATATTAATTTATCTGATTTCTCTTGCTACCACTCAGTCTGCGTATGGTTGGTTGAACAATCCCTTGTGGCAACAGTGCCCCCAAAAGCGCCTGCTCTCTGCGAGACTCGCCACCAAAACGGTTTTACCCATCTGGTTAAGAGAGGACTGGTCACTCTTTTGAGTTTTAAAGTGGTACATGCTTTTGTTTAAATTGTATATTCTTACTTAGTCATACCTATGTATGCATGCTGGGTGCAATGTTTCTGTAAAATTAGTCGTTTCTTTCTGTTTTAAAGGTTATTAAGACTTCATCTGCTTAATCCAGTTAACATTTCTAGAGAAGCATCAAACTTTAACATTTGTGGTTTGATTCATCATGATAAAAAAATGGGGAACCTCCAGACATACAAAACCTGCAGCAGAACAGACAGCCTATCCAGGGACCCAGTGCATCAACTAAACCAAAGAACGGGACTGACAGATGACAGAACCCTCACTGTCACAGGGACGTAAGGCACTTGTTTTAGTTTTATGGTAGTTCTGGTACTAAAAGCTTTGAATACCCCCCCAACCCCCCCAAAAAACATCAACTATATATCAATGTTTTCAGAAAATAGAACCAACAAAACTATGCACACAAACTTTGTGCTAATGCAGAATCTTTTAATACTAAGTACAATACAGAAAGTCAGTAGTAAACAAAAAAGACCATGCGTTTGTCTGTGCCCTTTCTTTCATGTCAGGCAGGACGAAGTGAGATAATAATGCATGATGCTGATTAGAAGACAGAAAAATCCTTCTATTCTCCAGAAAAAGAGACTCTGGTAATTGTCAGTCAAGGACGGTGCAGGATTTCATTCAGAAAGCTTTTAAAGTGCAGAGGATTTTTTTTTTCTTTTTTTTTTAGGGAAGTCAGTGCACCAACAAGTCAGTGAGTCCTTTTAAGCTTCCTTAGGCATGACACAGCTCCACACTCTGAGGAATGGAATCAGTGAAAATCTACATTCAGTCGAGATGTGATGACAATTTTACAGACATCTTTAAATCCTCCATCTCAAAAGAGCCTCCAATAAACAACTGATCAAATCAGAGGGAGATGAAGCGCCAAGAATTGGAAGTTTGACGTGAAAAAAAAAAAAAAAAAAAAAAAAAAAAAAGCGGGGGGAAAAAATTCACCCTTTTGTTTATTTGTTTTTGAT